CCTGAGATCATGACCTGAGCCGAAGGCAGCGGCTTAACCCACTGAGCCACCCAGGCGCCCCCTCATATTTTATTTTTTAAAAGATTTTATTTATTTGAGAGAGAGAGCATGAGAGGGGAGAAGGTCAGAGGGAGAAGCAGACTCCCCGCTGAGCAGGGAGCCCGATGCGGGACTCGATCCTGGGTCTCCAGGATCATGACCTGAGCAGAAGGCAGTTGCTTAACCAACTAAGCCACCCAGACACCCCTAGACCTATTTTTAAAAACTTTTCTTGATTGAGACCCAGTTGCCAAAAAAACACATTTTGTATCACAAGCCATCACGTGTGTGTATGTACATATTTTAATGAAAACAGTTTTAAGAATGACATTTACCCTTACTATTAGGTACTCTGATATTTTCTATTCCATTTAAAAGTTTTATTGCTAGTTAAGATGGACTGAATTGGTTTCATGACATACTAACAGGTTGTGACCACAGTTCCCAAGCCGCCCGTGGAGGCAGGGGCGTCCACAGGGATGTCACTGGCCAGTGCACACAGACTGAGCTCTGTCTTTGGAGTGACCCCCACCCTTGGTGTGCGGGTTTGGCTCTTCTGCCGGCTTTTCCGTGACCCTGGGAGCCAGGCCAGTGAAGCGGCTCAGAGGCAGCCAGGGATGCTGTAGGGTCTGTAGGGTCTGTCTGTAGCCAGCACCCTACCCCGGGGCTTGCTGATGAGCAGACAGCCCTTCCTGTGCCCCCATCACCAGCGATACGATGCAGGAGAGGCAGCTGCGGTATTGAGGAAAGAGCTAGCCTCTGGCATTGGGTGGGGGAGTACAAAGCCTGGCATGAGACTGTGGGTAAACGGAGGATGGCCCCCACCCTACAGAATGCAAGCAGGAGAGGCAGCCAGCCTCGCTCAGGGCTCGCACACAGTAGGGACTCCACACGTTCCTGTGCCCTTTTCTCTGATTGGGTGCTCTCCTCCTTGCAGCAGCCCATCTGCCACTCCCATTCACTAGTTTGTTTGCCCTTTCCAACTCCAAGAGCGTAGAAGCAGATTGCCCCGGACGCCTGGGGGGCTCAGTCAGCTAAGCGTCTACCCTTGGCTCAGGTCATGATCCCAGGCTCCGGGATAGAGTTCTGCATCGAGCTCCTTGCTCAGGGGGGAGTCTGCATTTCCCTCTGCCCGCCACTCCCCCTGCTTGTGCTCTGTCTCTGACAAATAAAGAAATAAAATCTTAAAAAAAGAAAAGCAGATTAACCATAATCTTTGTAGCTTTTTTCTTTCTTTAAGATTTTCATTTATTTGAGAGAGAGAAAATGAGCAAGGTAGGGGGAGGTACGGGGGAGAGAGAGAGAAGCACGCTCCCCACCGAGCAGGGAGCCTGACTCGGGGCTCGATCCCCGGACCCTGAGATTATGACTGGAGCCAAAGGCAGATGCATAACCAACTGAGCCACCCAGGCGTCCCTATGAGCTACTGTCATTATTGGCCCACACATGGGCTGCTTTTACTTAGTGTTATTTTAAAATTTTTATTTACTTATTTATTTAAAGGATTTTTATTTATTTATTTAACAGAGACACAGTTTAAGAGAGAGAGAGAGAACACAAGCAGGGGGAGTCGGGGAGGGAGAAGCAGGCTTCCCACTAAGCAGGGAGTCCAGTGCGGGTCTCAATCCCAGGACCCGGGGATCATGACCTGAGCCAAAGGCAGACGCTTAACGACTAAGCCACCCAGGCACCCACTTAGTGTTATTTTTTGTGTTTATTGACAATGTGTGTGTGTGTGTGTGTTTGTGTGTGTGTGTGTTTGGTAAGTTTTATTTTGATAATTCAAGCTTCATAGAGTGTAGGAATAGTTCGAGGAACTTGTACAAACCATTTACCCAGATTCTGTCATTTGCATTTCGCCCCATTGACTTTCTCTTTTTCTCTCCATGGGTACATGGATATTAGTTTCATGCATTTTTTTTTTTCCCTGAACCACCTGAGATAAATTGGAGGCAGCCTTTTGACATTTCACAATCAGATATATGTAGAACGATATCACGGGACCTTGATTATTATTTCTGTGCTGACGTCAGTTGCTGGCCACATTCTGATCTTCACCTCTCTATGATGGCATTCCTCAGCGGCTGACTTCTCCCTTATGGGTCCCGTATGGACCTGTATGCCAGGAGAAACACACAGCTGGCCAGTGACTTGTTGAATAATCTTTCCCAGGGACCATTTTTCATTTGTTTGCTTTGGTTTTTTTGTTTGTTTAATTTTATTTATTCATGAGCGAGAGAGAGAAGCAGAAGGAGAAGCAGGCTCCCCACTGAGCAGGGAGCCCAATGTGAGACTTGATCCCAGGACCTCAGGATCATGACCTGAGCTGAAGGCAGACAGTTAACCATGTGAGCCACCCAGGTGCCCCAAGTCTGCGTTGTTTTTATATACAAGGAAATGCTTCAGATCACATGCATCCCCAGTGGTTGCTCCTGAGGTTTGGATATAAGGCGACAGAGGGGCCGTGGATCTTTCAAGCACTCTTCTGGCCTTCTGCTTTTCCCTGTGGGCATGGACCACCTTCTTCCTGGTGGTGGCAACCCTCTGTAGATACAGTTCTCATCTCCCCTCCAGACTACCCTCTTGCCGAGAACCTCGTCCTCCTGTGCCTACTATATTCCACCGGCACCCAGTGGTGTGTGGTACACAGTAGGTGCTCAATATTTGTTCAGTGCATTGATACATACTTTGAAAATGTTACTATAACTGAATTGTAATTCCATTTAATATGTTACATCATACATATGACATCATACACATGGCTCGAGGTTTTTTTTTTTAAAGATTTTATTTATTTATTTGACGGGGAGAGACACAGCGAGAGAGGGAACACAAACAGGAGGAGTGGGAGAGGGAGAAGCAGGCCTCCCACTGAGCGGGGAACCTGATGTGGGGCTGGATCCCAGGACCCGGGGATCATGACCTGAGCCAAAGGCAGACGCTTAACAGCTGAGCCACCCAGGCGCCCCAATGGCTTGATGTTTTAAAAAGGGTATCAGTGAAAAATATCCCCCACTGTCTTACACTTTGGAAAAGAATTTGGCACTATTTTATAGAGCTAGAGATACTCTTAGTCCCTGACACTTGCCTCAGCATCTTAAAAAACTTATGCATGTAGGGGCACCTGGGTGGCTCAGTGGGTTAAAGCCTCTGCCTTCGGCTCAGGTCATGATCCCAGAGTCCTGGGATCGAGCCCCACATCAGGCTCTCTGCTCAGCAGGGATCCTGCTTCCTCCTCTCTCTCTGCCTGCCTCTCTGCCTACTTGTGATCTCTCTCTCTCTGTCAAATAAAATAAAATCTTAAAAAAAAACCAAAACCCTCGTGCACGTGTACCCATCAGAACAGTCATAGCAGCCCTGTTCTTAGAAGAACTGGAAAAAAGAAAACAAACACAAATATCCATTGGTATTGGAATAAATGAGTTGTGGCATATTCCTGCTGAAAAGGGACAGAGTACAGTGGTCCCTGCAAAAAAAAGGCTGAATCTCACAGTGTTGTATGGAAGGGTCAAGGCACAAAAATGTAGGCATTCTGTATGCTTCCAGCTTTGTCCGGTTCCAGAACAGCAATACTAAGTTCTGTTGTTTAGGAATGTATGTGTCAGTGGTAAAACTATAAAGAACGGCCAAGAAACGATTATAGAAGTTGGGATAGCGGTTACCTCTGAGCGGGAGAGTATATGATAAGGAAGGAGCCCTTGTGGCTTCGGGGATTCTGGTGTCATTAGGGTTTGTTTCTATTTGTTTACTTAGTGACAGTTGCCTGGGTGTGAGCATTATAATTATTTCTGGAAGTGTATATATATTTTACGGATTCTTCTATATGCAGTTCAGAATTTAAATAGTAATAAGGGGCACCTGGGTGGCTCAGTCAGTTGAGTGTCTACCTTTGACTCAGGTCATGATCTCAGTCCTAGGATCAAGTCCCACATCGGGCTCCCTGCTCAATGGGGAGCCTGCTTCTCCCTCTCCCTCTGCACCCCCCCAACTTATGTGTTCTCTCTCTTGCTCTATCTCAGATAAATAAATAAAATCTTTATTAAAAAAATTTCTTTTTAAAGATTTTATTTACTTGACAGCAAGAGAGGGAACACAACCAGGGTAAGTGGGAGAGAGAGAGAAGCAAGCTTCCTGCTGAACAGGAAGCCCAACGTGGGCCTTGATCCCAGGACCCTGGGATTATGACCTGAGCGGAAGGCAGACGCTTAGCCAACTGAGCCACCTAGGCATCTCGTTTCCCTACTTTTTTCTACTCCGTAGTCCCCAATTCCTTTCCTTGGAGGCAACCAGTTATACATGTATGTACATTCACACACACACACACACATTTTGTTGTTGTTTCGTTTGTTCTAAACACTGCTAGAGGAAAATTCATGATTTTGAAGTAAAAAGGAACAAACCATAAACATGTAAACTATGATTACTGCCCAGTTCTTTTCCTCCCCTCCCCCCTTTTAAAAAGATTTATTTGGGGTGTCTGGGTGGCTCAGTCTGTTAAGCCTCTGCTTTTGGCTGGGGTCGTGATCCCAGGGTCCTGGGTTTGAGTCTTGCATTGGGCTCCCTGCTCGGCAGGGAGCCTGCCTCTCCCTCTCCTCCCTGCTCATGCTCTCTCTCACAATCTCTCTCTCTCTCTCTCAAATCAATAAAATCTTTTAAAAAATGCCTTAAAAAGATTTATTTATTTCAGAGAAAGAGTGTGTGTGACCATTGAGGAGAGAATTTCAAGCAGATTCCCCACTGAGCTGAGCCCAAAGCAGGGCTCGACATGGGGCTCGATCTCCCAGCCCTGAGATCTTAACCTGAGCTGAAACCAAGAGTCTGTCGCTTGACTGACTGAGCCCCCCAGGCACCACCTGCCCAGTTATTTTTCACCCAACAAGGGGTCACTGTTTGGTCTCCCTGCCCCATGTGCCATTTATCTCATCTAACACCTGCTGTGTGCCAGAGTGGTTCCAAGAGCATAATTTCATTTAGCTCAGTTCTTCTAACAAGCCAGTGAGACAGGTGCTGTTAGTAGCCGCATTTTACAGAGAAGGAAAGCTAGGCTGTTGTATCTTTGCTTTGGGGCTTCCTATGCATCACGCTGATGGCATTGAGACCTCACCAAGGGTTGTGCCAAAGACAGTCATCTTGATCTCTAGTCCTGGGCTGCTCTGACAGGCCCCTTTCTCGCTGCAGGTGGCACTGTGCACCCAGGTGGCCCTGGGCATGGAGCACTTGTCCAACAATCGTTTTGTGCACAAGGACCTGGCCGCTCGGAATTGCCTGGTCAGCGCCCAGAGACAGGTGAAGGTGTCGGCCCTGGGGCTCAGCAAGGACGTGTACAACAGGTAGAAGGGCCCCAGTTGGGTATGGCGAGGGGCAGACGGCGGGTGGGGCTTGGGGGTGTGTGGGAAAGGGCTTAGCATCCACTTGGCCCAACGCTGGAGGGCTTGGGAGGGGACAGAGCCTCCCCATCCTTTCTTCAAAGGTGCTGCAGCCTTTCTAGCCAGTGGACCCTGACGCTTAGACATTATCTCTAGGGGTAAAACGTTAACCTTTTTTAAAATAACTGATCAAACTTTTAAACAGTTCATGTATAATTTAACTATTCATACAGTTCCCTCTGCAACTTCCTGAATTCAGTAATCACTGTATTGAAGCCCAGGGCTTCGAGCTAAGCAGCTGTGGCCAGGGACTGCCCTGGGGTGCCAGGAAACACCACACAGCCTCTTGGGGACCTCCCTGCGGGTCACTCTGGCTCTGTGCCACCACAGCGCATCTGGCTGTTAGCTTGAGTCCTAATTGGTTTATCGCTAGTAAAGCTTTTGAAGTTTTCTCTCCATTTAATGTGTCCTTGTTTGCTTTTTTACATTTTGTTTTAAACAGAAAAATATATATGATTGTTAGCTTTTAAAACTACTAATGTTGAGGCAAATTTTGATTCTTTTGTAAAAATTTTATTTGTTCATTAGAGAGGGAGAGAGAGCACGGGGAGGGAGAGTGGGAGAGGGAGAAGCAGGCTCCCCGCTGAGCAGGGAGCCCGATGTGGGGCTCGATCCTAGGACCCTGAGATCATGACCTGAGCTGAAGGCAAATGCTTAAGCGACTGAGCCACCCAGGCACACCCCCCCCACCTTTTTTTTTAAGCTTTAAATTTTGATTCTTAATGGAAATTTTAGCCACCGTGGACTTGCGCACACTGACCCAGACCCACATGGATGCCTCTAAATTTTCATCCAGCATACCCCAGTGCTCAGCCTAAATGCTACCAATTTCTCTGAATGCCTTGCTGGAGAAAAGCTGGGTTCTAGCCTGGGTTTGAGAGCCAGGTCTGGGATGAGGTTGGGATCCCAGGCCGTGTACCCCATTGTACCCTGTGGTACTCCGTGGGCCATGGAGGCCCCGCCCCATGCCTGTGCATGTTTCTCTCCTATAGCGAGTACTACCACTTCCGCCAGGCCTGGGTGCCACTGCGCTGGATGTCCCCCGAGGCCATCCTGGAGGGTGATTTCTCCACCAAGTCGGATGTTTGGGCCTTTGGCGTGCTGATGTGGGAGGTGTTCACCCACGGAGAGATGCCCCACGGCGGGCAGGTGGACGATGAAGTGCTGGCTGGTAGGCAGTTTGTTTCTGAAGGATGATTCCAGATAATCTCCAGGTGCAGGGTCTGCTCAGGGTCCCGGGGCCCACCAAGCCTGCCTCACTTCCCAGGGCTGGTGTTAGTAGGTGTCCAGATATGGCTACCCCAGCTGAAATACTTATTAAGTAATACTTTGATACCGGTTGGTAAATAGTCCTTGACCCCAGTGCCCAGTCCAGCCACTCTGACGCCTGCCCGTTGACCCCACTTTGGTCCTCATGCATTGGGTGCCTCCTGTGGACCCTGCCCTCACCAGCCAGAGAGAGCTGGGGCCAGGATCACGGGAGCCATCACCTTTGATTACAAGATACTTCCGTATGCCCCTTGCTGGAGTCAGTGCCCATGTACCACTCACTGGCCAGTGCCCCTGACCCCGAGTCGCCCTCGTGTGGCTGCTTGGGGAACTACGGGCTCCACCGGGTGGGACAGGTGTTGAAATGTTTTGAGTAAGACTCCATCCATCTTCCCTGCAGACTTGCAGGCTGGAAAGGCTAGACTCCCACAGCCTGAGGGCTGCCCTTCCAAGCTCTACCGCCTGATGCAACGCTGCTGGGCCCTCAGCCCCAAGGACCGGCCGTCCTTCAGTGAGATCGCCAACACCTTGGGAGACAACCCTGCAGACAGCAAGCCGTGAGGAAGGAGCCCAGGCAGGCTGTGCCTCAGGATGGCATGGGCAGGGGAGGATTTCTTCAGGGGCGCCCACAGCATGATGGGCAAGATCCCTGTCCTCCTTGGCCCCAGGAGCCCTTCCCTGGGACCACAGGCACTATTAAGGTCTGGGCAGGGCCTGGACTTTCCTCCTCTCCCTTATCCTCAGTCCTGGGGCAGGCTGATTCAGACCCAGACTGAGTGACTAGGGCCTTGAGCTGGGCAGCCTTCTCTGCCACCCCTTCCCCCATCAGGGACAGTGTGGGTACCTCAGGTAACCCCAGTTTCTGGCCTGGGTCTCCTCCCATTGACCAGGTCCAGTTCTGCCACTCACCTGCCAAGTTGGCCCAGGGAGGGCTAGGCTGGAGATGAGCCGGGTCTGAGGGCAATTCCTTAATATACTCAAGTTTCTGGATAGTTCTGGTCCCTGGGGCCTACCCTGGGCTTTGCGCCAGGATTACGGAGGATGTGCCAGTGAATCCTCCCCCCCCCCCCCCCGCCCCGTGGACTTGTGCACACTGACCCAGACCCATGCTTCCTCCCCACCCTTCTCCCCTTTCCTCATCCTAAGTGCCTGGCAGATGAAGGAGTTTTCAGGAGCTTTTCACACTATATAACCCGCCCTTTTTGTATGCACCGTGGGCGGCTTTTGTATGTACTTGCAGCGTGGGGTGGGGGGCATGGGAGGGAGGGGTGGGCCCTGGAGGAGGTGGGGAGGGTGGGCCACCCCTGCCTCACACCTTTATTGTTGTTGTTGTTGTTGTTTGTTTGTTCTGTTTTTTTTTTTTTTAAACACTCGCTGCTCTCAATAAAGAAGCCTTTTTTACAGCCTGCTTCTGATGCTCATTCCCTGCCCTTGTCCATGGATGGTGTCCCTTTGTCCCTCACTTATCAGAAGTGTCCATGTGCTGTCATGAAGTCTCACGGGGTTTGGACGGGAATGACGATTAGACACTGGCCTTTCTCTCTGGTTCACGGGGTGTTGAGAATATGGGCCTGGAGGATGCAAGGCCACTTCTTGTCCCTGTGACCCTCTGTTGCTCTCTGACTGCCAACTACTTATTCTTTGCTGGTTGGCTTAATCCTCCCGCTCAGGCGGGGAGGGTAGAAGGTGGGGAGTCTGGGGGCAAGTTAGAGCTGGATTGGAGAAGGAGTTAATGATGGATTCAGGTCTCTGAATCCCTGTACGACTCTTGGAGAGAGAGCGAGCAGGTAGAACAGAGCAGAGGGATAGTGCCTGATGCCTCATGGATGCCCTTGCTGAGGGCACTCAACTGGTTTGATTCCCAACCCTTTGTTAGTTAATTAGTTGGTTAGACTCAGTGCCATCAGTCATACTCCGCCTTATTCCAGTAACTTCAGCCTGGTTCCCCATCCAAGAGAAAGTAGTCCATAACTCAGTCTTAACTCTGAAATTTCTCTGGTTCCTTCTATTCCTCATCACACTTCTCATAAATGAAAATAACATCTAATACGTATTGGATACCTGCTTTCTACCAGTGACTTTGCTAAGCACTTAACATGCGTTATCCCGTTTAATCTCTGCGAATAGTCTAGCGCCAGATACTATTGTTCCCATTTCTCGGATTAGGAAACTGAAACTCAGAGTGGTTGGGTAGTTTCCCCAAGGTCGCACAGCCAGTAAGTGAGCCACTTACTCCTTGATATACAGTGTGTTATAGCCCACAGATGTGTTGGAGTGAAAAAAAAAATTCAAGAACAATTTTTCTAGAACATTGTTTTACAAAGTGTGGGTTGCAGCTGGCATTTAAAAAAGAATGAAACGGGGCACCTGGGTGGTTCAGTCCTTTAAGCGTCTGCCTTCAGTTCAGGTCATGATCCCGGGGTCCTGGGATCGAGTCCCATGTTGGGCTCCTTGCTCAGCAGGGGTCTGCTTCTTCCTCTCTGTGCTCTTTCTCTCTCTCAAGGAAATACATAAATATCTTAAAAAAGAAAATAAAATTTTAAAAAGAATGAAACGATAGAAACTATCAGAGTACATTGGATACCTTAAGGGTAAGTGTTCTTTTACAAAATGTGATATTGAATACGTTTGTGTGTCTTGGATTATGTCAGCTCTTGGGGTGGCGATGCTGTATAATAAGCCCCTAAATTTCAGTTCTTACAACAATTTATTTTTGTCACGCATGAATCTGCAGGTTGGCGAGGTTCAGCTGATCTTGGCCAGATCTGGTGGAGTTGAGCTGGGCTGGTCTCCTCTGCGGGCCCCAGAGCATGCTCTGCTGCAGGGCAGTAATGTAAGGGGTCCTGCCGGATCCCACATGGACATATGTCACCATGAGTCTATTAACGTTTCATCGGCCAAAGCGGGTCACATGTTGAAACCCAACATCAAAACCAGGAGGAGATAATGCAGAGTCACATGGTGAAGATGTTGGATGTGTAATTCCACTCAAAGTGTGAAGAATTGGGGGCAGCAATCTAATTCACCATAAGCCGTGATGTAAAATGAGTTCTTAACTGTGGGTTGTGCTCGGAAGTACTAGGAAGATACTAGTACTCTAGAAAGCCAAGCACTAACCCTTCTCTCGCTCCTGGTCTTCCTTAACGGCTCGGCCACCGCTAACACTGCTCATTGCATCTGCCTTTTCAGACTCTCCTCTCTTGACTTTGGCATTGGTACACCGTCTCCACCTTCTGTCTGCCTGCCCCAGAGCCCGCTGTTCTGGATTCTCTCCTTGGCTTTGCTCTCTCCATGTGCTCACCCTCAGGAATCTTGTCTCATCTCCTGGGGCTTTAATTGGCCCTTCGGTGTGCATAATTCCCAGAGCATTAGCTCAGATTCTAGCTTCACCCTCAAGCTGCAGACACACACTCCCCATTTCCTGCAGATCATTTCCCACTGCCTGCTTCCCGGGGCCCTCACTGAACTCTCTCTCTCACAACCTTGCTTCTCCAGCTAGGGCCTCTTTTTCTGTCAATGGTACTGATTTGGGGGTGATGGTCACCCTTACTCCCATCCATTGTGAGTCCTCCTCTCTGTGCACCCCCTCCCCTGTGCAGCCCGTCATCAGAATCCATTTATTCTACCCCTACCCTATTTCTATCTTTTTTTTTTTTAAGATTTTATTTATTATTTGACAGAGATCACAAGTAGGCAGAGAGGCAGTCAGAGAGTGAGAGGGGAAAGCAGGCTCCCTGCAGAGCAGAGAACCCGATGTGGGGCTCCATCCCAGGACCCTGGGATCATGACCTGAGCTGAAGGCAGAGGCTTCAACCCACTGAGCCACCCAGGCACCCCCTATTTCTATCTTTGCTTAATTTTAAGAGAAAAAAACAAGGGCGCCTGGGTGGCTCAGTGGGTTAACCCTCTGCCTTTGGCTCAGGTCATGATCTCAGGGTCCTGAGCTCGAGCCCCGCATCAGGCTCTCTGCTCAGCAGGGAGCCTGCTTCCCCCTCTCTCTCTGCCTACGTGTGACCCCTCTCTCTCTGTAATATAAATAAATAAAATATTTTTTAAAAAAAGAAAAAAACAACATAAAAAATAATGATCATGGAAGAAGTCAAATGGTACAGACTTGTAGAAAGCAAAACACACACTCCTCTCTCTCCAACTCTACGCTCCAGTGGGAAGCACTAGTAGTGTCTGGAGTGTGGCTTTCCAGACTTTCCCTGGGCACACTGAGTCAACAACCTCTTTTCCTTTCTATTCTCTCTAACGCTACCATTGCCACAAGATCTATTCTCCACAAAGAGTCCTTGTGTAAAGCTTAATTCCAAATGCCAACACTTAGAGTGGTAGTTTTTGGTTTTCTTTTCTTTCTTTTTTTTCTTGTGTGTGTGATAAGTCATTTTTTTTGATAAGTGATAAGTCCTTAATTTTTGTTCTGGTATAACTTGGGTGATAAAAATCAGGAGAAAGAAAGAAAGGTCAAGGTGGGAATGGTGTAGTATCTGGGGCATCTGGCTGGCATTCTGATGCCCCTCTGGAGGTCCTTCATGTCTGGGGTGGACATGAGCTCCCATCTTCCACGGGGGCTACTGTGATACAGGCCTTATCAGAGAAGTACCAAACTCACATTCCAGAGAGGCCAGGCCAGGCACTTATCTGAGCTCAGTGAGCTGTGTGGAGCCTATAGTGAACCTGAGAGCAGAGACGTCTGCTATGGCCCCTGCTCAGTTCAGGTCAAGGCTCTAGTGCTCTTGGGGGTGCCAGACCTGGAGTTAATGTATTGAGAGATTCCAGACTTTTATGTAAAAACCTGATTTCAAAATACTCTATGGCACCAACAAAACATATCTGTGAGCCACTTCTTGATTTTTGCCTTTATTCATATCGACAGTTTTGGCTCCTGAGCCTACAGTAATCCAGTCTGATGTGGCTGTGGTGCCCCGTCCACCCCTCCCCCCACCCCATGGTGACAAAGGATTGTGAAAATGAAGCCATCCCAGCCCGAAGAGCTGGGGCACTAACGCTCGTGGGCAGTGGCCCAGGGATTGGGTGAAATGGGAGAGGTCAATCTATTTGAAGGGAAACTTAAGAACTGTATTCATTCCACACACCATGCCCGGTGAATGTGGCAGACAGTAGCTGTCCTCTGGGGGTACCACTGCTAAGGCTTGTCAACCCTGCATGGGTCTAAATTAGGGGAGGGTCTCAAAAAATTGTCTTTAGAAGTGAAGAAGGAATCAGCCCAGGGCTGTGGTTTTAAGACTGCCCTGCTCAGACAGATCACAGTCTCAAGCACCATTTGTGGCCCCTTCTTGGGGGGCTCTTCTGGAACCTATTTATGTATTTGACCTGTTCTTCCTCTTGAGCTAACACATTCCATATGTTAAACTACCCGTGATGTAAAGTAAATTAGGAAAAGGGGGGAAAAAACCCCACCTCTTTGAAGCTATTGGGAATTGGGGAAGAGTAGGACTGTTAATTCCCATAGTTAAGGGTTTGATGATACTACTAATACACACATTAGTTCTCACAAATCACTTGAACATACCTTGTTTCAGTATTTCTCAAAGTCCTTGGACATGACTTACAGTAGGAAATGCAATTGACATTGTTATCTGTTTGGCACATTGAGCCATATGAAATCGACAATATACTACCCTCTTGACCTATAAAATGGCCATTTTATATGGTTCAATGTAAAAATGAAAACAAAAGTTCTAGGCAAAAATATTTGCCCTAGTGTTTTGTAATACTTATTAATTTATTATTTTAAATGCTCATTGCAGTACACTGAAGTCATTTCATTATCGTTACCACTAATGGGTCACAACAAACTGCTTTATTTAATCTTCACAAAAACTTTTAAGGCAGGAATCATCATTCCCCCATCCCCTTAAAGGCAACCAGATGTTTATCCCAGCGATGAGGTTATTATTCCAGGAGCTCCTGTTAACTATCCACTGACCACTTACTCTATGCTTTAGCCTTCATCTCATTTAATCTGCATTAAGATCCCAACATGGGATGGGTACCAACAATGAGGAATATGATGGAATTTGGAGAAGCCCAATACTTGTTTCCAGCCACAGGGATACAAAGAGGCTGATTCCAGATTTGAAAATTTTCTGTAACAGCAAAGCCCAACCTATTTTCACGGCTTTGGAGCTGAGACCTCGACCCATACCTCGAACATGGGCTTTGTCCCGCTCCTGTTCTAACTACCCCCACCCCCACCATGGGTTATTCACAGAAGGGGGTGTGTGTGTGTGTGTGTGTGTGTGTGTGTGTGTGTACGCGCTTCGCTGGCTGGCTGGCTGGCTTGCTTAGTTGCTGAA